TTATGATTTATGTTCATCAGATGCTCCTTATGCTATAAAGTTGCTATATTTCCATATGGATCTACTACAAAGAGCGCCACACGGACTATTTGTAAATAGCAGTATTGATTCATTGCCATGTTCCTAAATGGCACGGATGTAATTTACTATCTGTCCAACGCAGGTTGTTTACCTTTTCGTAGCCTGTCATCTGTCAAACGCAAAGATTTAACGGCAAACCCAAAGCCCAAATACTTTCGTGGATAGTATGAGTTGAATTGGAAATTTCTGCTAGTTTTAGTCCTAAAAATACATATAAAACGAGTATGTGGATGTCAACTTCTTCTTTTTTGTATAACACGACGTTTCTGGGCTACTTCTTGCCCTTTCTTCAGGTGATTAAAGATAGATGTAGAAAGCAAAGTTTAACTTTATAAATTATGTATACCAGATTTCTAGGAAGCCAGACATGTACATGTACATGTATATACAATCAATGAAAATACATGACGTTCAGCATCTGACTTTGCGTGCGATTAGATACCAAATCACATCGAGGCACAAAATATATGGTTACAAGACAGTTTATGTCGTGTTTTTGCAAATCAAACCGCCATCATAAAGTTTAACGACAAAAACCACAGACATATATATGTTTTTCTAAATTACGTTTTGTCATGTGCCATAAAGCTACAAATTAATAAACATGGAAGATGTGCTAACCGCCATCCCTTTCCCCAATGTCCTGCAAACCATGGATATTGGACATAAACACGGTGTTTGGAGTCGCTTGTGTTTAATGTCCTGGTTATTGTTGCTGATTTATCACTCGATAAAGCCTTGGCTTCATATAAATGTATTTCCATCGTGTCTTATTGTCTCGGCTTAGGGTTAATGCTTTTCTTTCATGGAAGTGTAGCCGACGTGTCGTACTCTAGGCGAGGGGCAAATTATATGGAGTATGTCCCCTCGAGGGACTTCTGGACAACTAGCATGCATTGCGGTATTGATATTCGATAAAGCCCGATTCTAACTTGGGTAATAACACACGACGGGATATGTGTTATGATGAACTGACCGCCATCGTATGTGCTAATACATATACATGTTTCTCCTATAGGTGTAATTGAATAGAATTAAGAACATGGATACAAACACTTCACATTTCGATGATTCTTTGTAACGTGTAAATTACATTTCACGAAAACATTCAAAGTGCATTTGAGATTTTAAACGAGTATGTAAGAGTTATTTTGTATGTGTTTAATGGGAATTTTAAAGTGACATGAATTGGAACTTGTCTCTTCCGGACGATAATTACAAAATGAATTTCTTGAAGCCATTTCAGTTTTATTGATCTATGGGTTTTTTCGATGTTGTTCGAAACTTCTGGAATTGGGAGTAGAAGGACGTCATTTCCCTTGGCGATTTATTCCACATTTACTGGAGTTGAGGAATTGGTTAACAGGATCAAGTTCATTTCGGAAACCATACCACTAAGAACTAGAATCTGGTCCGATTTACATAACGGGAATAAGATGACTATCGATCGGGTTACACTAATGCCTAGAGAGTGTTGCTACTCTGGCTGACTATATTACGATGGTATTTCTGCTGTTAACGAAGCCAGTATGGTTAGATTGCCTTTCTGATTACCAACCATGGTGCGATATGGCTTCGATAAAGGTTTTTGTTACTACCAACGGGACAATGTGGGATTGATAATCTTTTCCAGCTACTCACAATGATGTGATATGGTTTTGAAAACTTCCGATTTATCTTAAGAGAAAAATTAGTTTCATTAGCGGAATGGCCAAAACAATTGGTGGTACGTGCTGTCGCGCTTCTCGCACGCCCCATTACGACATTTGGTGAGTGAGTGAGTTGCGATTTACGCAGCTTCTAGCAATATTCCAGCAATATCACGGGGAACACCAGAAATGGTACCCATGTGTGGAATCGAACCTGAGCATTCGGCGTTACGACATTGGAAAACAGGTACACTTGCCGGTGCTATACTCAAAACATTTTCTAAATTGGTCATGAAGAAAAATTCATGAAATGATATTGATAAAATTTAAAGACTTGTATTGTATTATAGAGAAATTTATACACAACTGCTTAAAACCGTTAAGTGGTGTCAGACGGAAAGCTGACTCGATGTTCAGCCGTGTCAATGTGGCGTACAATGAAAGAAAGAAATGTTAACGGTCAAAAATAGATGTATGGACGGTTAATAAATGAGTGTCCTCTCCAGTTGACTAGACAATCCAGTGATGGACTAGACAATCCAGTGATGGACTAGACAATCCAGTGATGGACGAGACAGTCCAGTGCTGAACTAGAAAATCCAGTGATGGACTAGACAATCCACTGATGGACTAGACAATCCAGTGATGGACGAGACAGTCCAGTGCTGAGCTAGAAAATCCAGTGATGGACTAGACAATCCACTGATGGAATAGACAATCCATTGAAGGACTAGACAATCCACTGTTGGACTAGACAATCCACAGATGGACGAGACAATCCACTGATGGACTAGACAATCCATTGAAGGACTAGACAATCCCGCGGCATGACAGTGCCAATAATGCCTTTGTTGGAACTAAGGCCAGCGTGTAATTTAGTGCAGAAATTCTGCTGCCTAAAAATACTGAGAAATACTCATTAGACCATGTTGTTTACAATATCGGTAAGGTGGGTGGACTGGTAGGTGGTGAGAGAGAAGAGGTGAGAAGGGTCGGAAATCGAACGGTTAGCGGGTTTTAGGGTTATTTTCGCTCATTAGCGACTCTGTAACATAATGGATTTCTATGTCGGATAATTACTTTTACACACACTGTCGAAATAGACGTCACTATCGCCGGCGTGTTGATCACACAGCACACTGCGCATGCCACCAGGTGTGATGTCATAATTGGCTGTCCTTTCCAAACACCTAAGCTAAAACAGACTGGAGCAGTCGGAAATATACTCGAGGTTTACCAGCGATGGTAAATACCAGATATTGCACCGCATTGAAAATTCTATCGAGACCATAACGATACAAAGACACATAATGATAACTCTTGCAAAGCCTCAAGAGGGAAGAAAGTTCGTCCGATGAGCGGAAGGTCTGGGTTCGATCCTTGCGTTAAAGACAGTTTAAAGAAAAAGGTACATGTTGTTTCCCTGCCTTCCACATGACAATGAATTTTTATTCCAGAACTTGCTGGTTCTGAGTCAATATACTGTGGCTTGAGTATTCATGTAACACTAGGGAGAGTGAGTGACTGAGGTTTAGTTTTACGGCGATTTTAGCCATATTCCAGCAATATCACGGCGGGCAACACCAGAAATGGACTTCACATATTGTACCCATGTGTGGAATCGAACCCGGGTCTTCGGCGTGACGAGCGAACGCTTTAATCACTGGACTACCCCACCGCCCCGTAACACCGCGGCATCTCAGTTGGCTATTACAGAAAGACCGACCTGGGAACGGATTTGACAAGCATACACACAAGTATACCCACGTCGAAATAATTTTGAACGTGACGTTTTTTCTGTATTTTACCTAACTCATAAAATAGTTTTAAAGATGCCAAAAAATCGACAAATGCAACACGTGTATATATGATGCATTATTGTACTTCTCTCTAGCAAATGTAAATGTGTGTCCTGTATGGTAGACGGCAATGTTTCCTTTAAAAAGTTCATAATTTGTACATTCCATGAAAAATTGCCCGTTTGAATGGAGATAGCTACCAAACTTAACATCGCTTGTTGAATAAACACGTTGAAAATAAGGACTTAAATATGACGTCACTGTACAGTTCTAATCTGCTCATCTCAAGCTCATCTCAAGCTACACACTTAAACGCTGTTAGTATGGACACTCAATAATCCAGATATTTAGTGTCTAAATTATCAATGTCAAACTTTAAGGTAAGCACAGGCATTTACATATATCTACTATTAAATAGTAACAATGGTTATAACGAAGCTCCGAACTATTCCACTGATAGGTTCGATTTGCCTTTGAACAAGGTAATTTCTGAAGTCTTGTTTAACGGATACAATGTTAACCTGAATAGAATCCTAACTACACTCTCAGATAGGTCAGCACAAACAGGTAGAAACAGAAACATGAACGAAACAGGGTTAACGGGTTATAATGAAAGCAACATGATGTTAATCTGTTATATATAAAAACACTGTCGAAGTCTTTTGGAAAATCGTACTAACCACACTTCGAGACAAACCAAGTGTCGATGGTAGGCCAGAGAAGCGATAGGTCTTTGAAGAACCATAACGGGACATCGTTTTCAACGAGTTCTTGGACGAAAGTATTTTGTATACAGCCATAAAACATTGAGAAAATAATGAAATGCACAGGATTTCAGCACTTTCACACTCTACTCTGTGCCGAGTTCATTCGACAATACTGAGAACAAGAAAACAATTTCAAATCTTTTTAACACATCCGAATTTCATTTCGCTTTAGTCGAATGAGGAGTTTTCTTTTTGTATGTACCACATCATCTGCGTTGGGATATGGTGTATGTTGTTTTCAGTTCAATAAATTAAATACACACAGTAAATATAGTATGTATCAAAACTGAAATATTCAGTTCAGAATATGTCAGAACTTCACCATATCAAAGTGAGTTAAAATTTAAGTATATGTTATACAGTAATATCATACCCATATAGAGAAACGTATTGGTAAACATCTTAATAAACACGTGAACATGCCATGAGTCTTATAACAGTCATAATATGCAACAAGTATATTCGACACACATATATAAGAATCATGTTTCAATAATTATAAAACATATATCACTGACCACAAGAGAATAAAACAAGTTATAATCCTCAAAAAATACATCCCCGGTCTACTCAGACTGGCCAAGATATGTCTGTTGAATGACAACGTGACAACGGTGCAAACAGACATCTCGATGGCCAAACCAGATGCTAAACAACGTGATGCACGGCTGCAGTTGGAAATATTACAAAATGGTCAAACCTACCAGGTAGCAAGTTATCCCAATATGTTAAGTCCCCGTATCTCTGCCGTGCTGGCAGCAAGGCAGGCAGTAGGCAATGGCGGCCGATCCAGCTCGCAGCTTAAATCCAGCACCGACTATCGATCTGCCCATGATGTCAGATCCACAAGCCAACACGATGATGCCAAGCCGCATCGTCGCGTGCTGTATTGATTCTGTTGCTATGGCGACGTGCGGAAGCTTGTGATTTTAGTCATATGACTCGCGCAGGTTCGTGCAGGGTGGAAAGTAACGTTACATGTCAAGATACCCCGATAACACTTCCACCCGTTTCATAAATATTTTAAAATTCTTTAAGTCTTTGTAGTTATTCATATGAGCTGTTTGGTGATGTCGTTTGGGATTATTACATTTGCATTTTCGCGTGGGTAAAGTAGGTTCGGTGTTTATGTTTATGATGATAATGGATGTGAATATAAGTGTTATAACCCTTATCGACTGCTTTGACATTTGCATATAATGAATACAAGAAAATATAAGAGGTTTTGTTTTGTTCCACATCGAGACTATCATATGTCGTGTTGGATGGTCACACTGGAAATGATATCGCTAATGGAAGCACAAAGTGCCAGGTACAAATACAAGATGGCTTGTTAATGTGTCGATGGAAGATATTTTTTTGTGAAATCAGAATATAAACGAATCAGACAGATTGTAGGCCAACAGAGACGGGCAGGAGGTTGCATAGTCAGGCAGTCATACAGGCTAACAGATAGACACGCAGTCAGGCAGACACCAGTGGAGTTCAGCCTGAGAATCATATACATGGAGTACAGTGGAGTACAGCCTGAGAATCATATACATGGTTTGTGAGTTGGTTTGTTGTTTAGCGCCTCATTCAGAAATTTCCCGGCGGCGGTCTGTGAAAAATCGAATCTGGACCAGGCAATCCAGTGATCAACAGCATGACCATCGATCTACACGATTGGGATACAATGACATATGTCAACCAATTCAGCGTGCCTGACCACCCCGTTAGTCGCCTTTTAGAATTAGCATGGGCTGCTGAAGACCAATTCTAAGCCGGATCTTCACGGCCCTATAAATGGACAGACAGACTGACGGAAAGACGTGCAGACGTTGAGACAGTAATTCTCTTTTTAACAGATTAGCGTCGTAACATCTTAATATTTGAGTAAAGCCAGAAGTCATGTTGGTTTGGAGGAACCCACGAGCACTAACCCACGCCAACTAACCCAGACCGTCAAAAAGCGAGGGATTCGAAGCCAGAGTGTGTGAGTGAGTTTAGTGTTACGCTGCGTTTAGCAATATCGGGGCGGGGGACACCAGAAATGGGCTTCACACATTGTACCCATGTGGAGAATCGAACCCGGGTCATCTTCGGGTACCCCACATCCCCCCAAACCCAGACAACAGCGATAATATATATCAGTTGCTTTTGTGCCATATGAACCTGATGACAATGTCCATGAATATACGGAACCTGATGTATGTGGGCACATTCCTGGCCATCGATTATCTTAAGTCAGTCGTCTCAGTATGATGCATTTTGTATGTCATTTTTGCTACTGTGTGTAGGAGATGAGATTGTACGTGAAGCGAAGTTTCCAATGACTGTAAGTAAAACGAGGTTTGTCCATGGTTTTCACTTCAGCAATATTTTCACAAGTTTTCAAATTTACTCCATTGTCACGGCAAAGAATTCGCTCAGCTGCTGAAGGTTGTGTGGCTATAACCCTGTGACTTCATGTAATGTCCGGGCGGTGGGGTAGCCTTGTAGTTAAAGCGTTGGCTCGTCACGCCGAAGACCCGGGTTCGAATCCCCACATGGGTACAATTTGTGAAGCCCTTTTCTGGTGTCCCCCGCCGTGATGTTGCTGGAATATTGCTAAAAGCGGCGTAAAACCAAAATTCAGTCAGTCAGTCAGTCATGTAATGTCCACATAAATGATGTCACTATTACACATGAGATAACATCACTTATTTTTCTAGATAACTGGTTGAAAAAGAAATATATAAAAATTCACAAGCGCTATCAAAACGTTACCAGGCTCAAAACAGTCCGCGAAACGTTGTAAACGTATATCAACGATCCTGATCAAACACAGGTGTATACTTTCTTTTGTCCGTGAGTATATGCGAGGCTCAGAACTTGTACTCCAGGAACAGGTACTCCATCCAGGAAGATATTGTCCTTTACATCTACTTATAACATGACTTGATCCCACCTCCAGCTGAGCATTATCTGTTTTCCAAGGACACGGCAGAGGTCATGCTGTCTTCATCCTTGGAAGCCTGGTGCCGGACATAATGATGAAGTACCTCTTCAACCTGATGACTTCATCCGCTTACGCGATGGACATTCTTGGTTATGGCCTTCCATTACAGAATCACATATAGAGAATGAATTGTTTCCTTTTACAAAGGTTTCTTTGATGAAAATAGCTTCCCCGAAATGCAACTGCATCGGACACGAAATACATCTTCCCCGAAATACATCTTCATTGAATGCGAAATATAGCTTCCCCGAAATACACCGGCATTGAATGCAAAATACATATTCCCCGAAATATATTTTCATTGAATGCGAGTACAGTTTCCCCGAAATACATCTGCATTGAATGCAAAATACATCTTCCCCGAAATACATCACCATTGAATGCGAAAAATATCTTCCAGAAAATACATCTGCATTGAATGCGAAATACATCTTGCCCGAAATACATCTGAAGTGAATGAGAAATACATCTTCCCCGAAATACATCTGCATTGAACGCGAAATACATCTTTCCCGAATTATGCCTGAAGTGAATTTGAAATACATCTTCCCCGAAATACACCTGAAGTGAATGCGAAATACATCTTCCCCGAAATACATCTGCATTGAATGCGAAATACATCTTGCCCGAAATAAATCTGCATTGAATCATCTAAACGGGGTCTCATTATAAAGCAAAGGACGGAAACATACTCACAAATGTATTAATGTACAGGCGGTCGAAAACATACCCGTGCATACAATACAGATGATTGCTGGAATGAACGTGTTTTGTGAACAGATTCATTACGTGTGATGTATTCAGGCTACCTATGAGTATTCTGAAAACAACGATAATTGCATCAACATGAGAAAGACTCCTGAGATGTGTGTGGTAAGGTTCTGAATACCCGAGTATTCATGGGTCGAGACAAGCCGCTTATTGATATATAAAGGCATACAATCTACCATAATGGGTCTCTCGGAATCACGCGTGGCCTACATTTGGAATTGAAAGAATGGTGATCGAGTTCTGACAATTGATGACCTGGAGTGACCAGATGCCGGGAAATGACCACTTCCTGTTCTGATTGCTTTTTATAATTAGTTGTAGATATTCTGTGCAACATTTAAGAGGGATATCTTGAAGATGAACATTGTCTTATGGATAGACGTCTTTATTGCAGGATATACATGAAGAATATTTGAGTTTATACAATGAGGTTGATGAACAGTGTAATTAATGGCATTACTGAAGTTGTTGTGAGTATGGCCACTCCAAGAGAGTGAGTGAGTGAGTTTGATTTTACGCCGCTTTTAGCAATATTCCAGCAATATCACGGCGGGGGACACTAGAAATGGGCTTCTCACATTTTACCAATGTGGGGAATTGAACACGGGCCTTCGGCGTGACGAGCAAACGCTTGACCCCCTAGGCTAACACACACACACACACACACACACACACACACACACACACCCACCCCCCTCCAAGAGAGGATATCTTGAGTTTACAACAGGGGATAAATCAGACTTACTTTAAAGAGATGCAATGTGATTTTGGCTAGAACTGACGCATCTTAATCTTAGTTTCAAATATACTCATGCCAATAATGGTTGTCACTCCCCTCCCCAACCCAAACCAGCACACACCTCACACCCCAACCTCCTCTCCAATTAAAAAAATTAAAGGGGGTGAGTATATATAAATACACACATGTGAAAAAGCTCCCAATATTTTATTTGCTAATTTTGGCTTAAAATGAACCCTAAAATGCACCATTTCGATGCCCAAACACAACGTCAGATTTATTTTGGTCTTGGCACATAGCAACCCCATCAATGTTTAGCCGTATGGGGTTGCTTTGTGTAGTGCATATACACTCATGCCAATAATGGTTGTCACCCCACTCCCCACCCCAAGCCACACACACACCCCCACCCCCACCCCCACCCCGTCTCCAATTAAAAAAAATGAAGGGGTGACAACCGTTATTGGCATGAGTATATGTCCCTACGGCTGAAAAAGCCATGAGACAGCTCAGTTCGACATGGACTTTCATGAGGTTAATATATGGATTAACGGTGAAAGGATAAAGACTCCTAATGTATCTAAACTATTTCCGTACTTTCCCAATATCGTTGCTGCAACTATTTCGTTCAAAGACTCTCAGCCTATATAATTATCAAAGCAATGACACACTAGCAACACGTCTTTGTCCTGTATTCTCTACTGAAGAATATACAGAACACACATCAGAAGCGTCCTGTGATCCTGTCCCCATATGATCATTGGACGTTATGATTCTTTAAGCCCCTTAACGTACACATCACACAACCACAAAAGATAAATTATTAAGAAACATGGTTCTTTTGACCATCCATTTTTGTAGTATAAACGCAAAATGGCATTTAAGTCTGTGAGGCTAGGTATAATGCTTACGGCGTTTGCTCATCATGCCAGTAACCAGTGTTCTGGGTGTAACGCGGTGCAAGTACCCCATCTCTATCTCGACATGGTGAGTCCTGGGTGTAACAAGTCACCACTACCCCATCACTATCTCATCATCTTGAGTTCTTGGTATAACAAGTCTCCAGTACCACATCACTATCTTATAATGGTCAGTTCTGGGTATACAAGTCCCCAGTACCTAATCACTATATTATAATGGTGAGTTATGGGTATACCAAGTCCTAAGTACCTCATCCCTCTTTCACCATGGTGAGTCCTGGGTATACCAAGTCTCCAGTACCTTAAATCCATACCATCATGGTGAATCCGTGGTATAACAATATCTCTGTTCTCAAAGTCTTTAGTGATGATTCAAAAAGGATTGCTGCTTCATACATTAACTTC